ATTTACTAAAATATGATATTGTTATGACTTTGAATTTTCTAAGAATAGCTAACCTCACATTAAAACTCTCAGCTCTCTCTCTAGCTGATAAGCAAATTGTATCACTCAAAATATAGCTTACAGCACTGTCCCTTACTGTATTGTGAACTCTCTTGATAAATCCTAATACCAAAAAAAACAAAAAAACACACACACTCAGTTTTCTGTTCTCCAAGTCTTTTTGGTGGCTTTTTTCTTCCAAGGTCCATGGTGGACAAATTGGATGGCATCTCAACCATTATCTTCACAAGCCATGCTGTTGGTGGGCTTACTTCTTCCTGGGCAGGTGGTTGAGGAGTGAACCCATTGGTTACTATAACCTTCATCATCCTCTCGAAGTAGTCTTCACAAATAACTCTGGACTCCTCAACAGGTTGAGTTTCTTCTTTGCAGTTCCCCAGTTGGCTGTTTTCTCACCAACATACTTCCAAAGACCATTAAGAGAGAAGACTTTTGGTTTGGAATACCTACCTGTTTGAGTTCTATACACCACATCATTAATGTTTTTCAGTACATCATATGGTCCTTCCGCTCATCTTTCTTGTGGTAGGAATTGTACAGTCACTTCGATGGAATCCAGTCTTATCAGCATTAACATCATAACTACCTTTAGCTTTACAATGACCAAATGTAAGTCTTTCCTGAGTGAAGTCAAGTATGACACCTTTATTCTTCACATACAGGAGAGCTCTTCAAACCACAAATTCCTTAGAATATGACACAGTAAGATGGATAGTTTATTGTTCACTATTCCACCTGTTCATTTTGGGAATGATTTGGAACCATGTTTGGTATGACTACCATAGTGCTTAGGGTGAAGTAGGTTAGGTTTTCGAATGGCTAGTTAAATTTCGGAACTGGATTTGGTAGTGTCCTGAATGGACTACTCCAGGTGACACAGCAGTAGTGGTAATAGATGTAGACCAAATACGTTATTGTATGATACCACATAGTTAATAATATAAATTTCTTTATCTGATCAGCTTCCAAATGCATTTTAATGTTCTTATATGATTGACAAAAATATCAATATGAAAATGATACAACTACAAAAAGAAAGAGTTACAATGCAGTTTGAATAATGTCATACTTCATAAAAACTTTTCCACCTGGCCCGCCCAGAATAGCATTGAAAACAAACTAGAGGTAATATAAGATGTTCAAGAAAGGTTTAGAGTAAGTAAAGTCTAAAAATTTAGTTGACTTAAGGTAGACAGAATGCAGCATAAGGGTTAATATTAAATTCTACCTTCCTTGTCTATTTTACATACATCCTTTATCTAAATATGGTAGACAGACTACTACAAAAGATCTTACTTATTAATAACTTCTACCTTCCTCATCTTCATGTATGAAAAGACGGTTATTAAGTATGTATATATATTTTTTCTATAGATGGCGAAACCACAAAATCTATGTTGAATGTTAAATCCTACACCTCTCATTTTGATTCCTTTGACAACTTGGATGACTACAATGTCCAAGAAGTATTAGATCATCTTTCTATCTTAAACAGATATGAATTTACAATAACTTGTTCTGTTTTGTGGCATCTTTTTTGTTTTGTTTTTACTTTTGGAGCAAAATTGAAGATTTTGTTTGGTATTCAGCACTTCCAGTATTGGAAGGTCTAAACTTTATACTGTATACTAAATTATACCCAAACATTTTTTACCAACCATTTACCTATATTCCATATATGAGACAAGGTGATACCTTTTCACATACTTTTAACTTACAATTATATTCACAGTACAAACAAGATTTCTCCACAGTGTATTATCTCTCATTTTTTTAAGATTCTAATTTAATCCAAACATTTTGATATGCACTAAACAGTTTTTTTTTTTCAATGAGTGCAAAACTGCATATCCAAACCTGCATGCTTTTCATCTTAGTGCACAATTGGAATGATAACTTTGTAATCATTAACTGTAAACATACTAGACAGTTGCAAGGTTTCCTACCAGTGTTTTCTTTGATGCCTAAATAGTTTTTTACAGCAGTAAATACGCACTACAAGTTAAGCAGATGCACAGTTTTCTACCTTTTCTTGTCTTTATTTTTTCAATGAGGGCAAAACTGCATGCTTTTCATCTTAGTGCACAATTGGAATGATAACTCTGTAATCATTAGGTTTTCTTAAATTTTTTTTCACAATTCATTCTATTTAATAATATTAAATGGGCATTATTTCTTGATACAATTCATCTTAACCTTTATTCAGTAAATGCCAATTTTACTAGTTTAAAAAATTTCCCAATTTTATTCACCAGTACAGTCTACCCTATAATATCTTACATTTTAATCTGTAGTTAGCTTCTTAAATTATGAAGCAATTTTTGATACAACTTTACAAACTTGTTTTTCATCACCCAAGGTCATATGCAAAATGTTGCCGAGATCATTCCAGCAGTGTTACCACCCCTAATCCCTTCACTCACTGGGGTGATCAAAATAAATGTCCAATGTTTCAGTAAAAATGAAGTCAAAATTAAATCATGTTTACACATTTTAAAGACTTGAAATTTTAAAAACGTATTATCCATTCCACCACACACACACTTTTTGTTGTGTGTTTGTATAACTGCAAATAAATGAGACAAATATCATCATGGTTCTGAAAAGTAACATTTTAATCTCCTTACACATTCAACATGTTTTACTGTACTTTCTAGTTATTAAGAGTATTATTTACAAATCTGTTTAATAAAGAAATTGCCTGAATTTTTTTTTAATGTTAAATAACTTTTGATCTTTTTTTCATCCCAATATTCTTTATCCAACTTTGAATATTTTCATTCCCTTCTCAAACAACACTCAATCATTTCCTCACTCTTAGTGTATCTGCTATATCATCCAATTTATTGTTGTGTTAGTAACATACCACTTTCAACATGTATATCATTTATTTTTTCAACTGTTGTAAAGATAAAAACATACCCTTTTGTCACTTTCTTTTGAAGAAATTATATAAAAACATTAAATACTGACTATATTCAAAATAGTTTATTTCTATTTCAGTTTAGATTCATTATTAATTTACCTCTATTTCTTAAATAACAGGAAAAAATAAATAAATCTTGTATAATTACACAATCATTTAATGATGACGAGAAACCCACTTGAAGTAAAAATGTATAGCAGAGATGGCTGGTATGGGTAT